GTTTTTGAACAGAAGAGTGAGATATATATATATATATATATATATATATATATATATATATATATATACATACAGCAAAAACATTTATAATGTAAAAAAAAAATCAAATAAATGCTGTTCTTTAGAACTTTCTATTCATCAGAAAATCTTGAAAAAAAACTGTTTTCACAAAAATATTAATAAGCAGCACAACTGTTTTCAGCAGGGATTCTAATGTTTCTTGATTACCTTCAGAATGGTTTCTGAAGAACTGTGTGACACTGACGACTGGAGTAATTGTTGCTGAAAATGTAGTGTTGCCAAAAAAAGAATAATGTAGATTTGACAAAATAATTTAAATTAAAATATTTATATTTAAATTAAAATTAAATTGTAATATTATTTCATAATATAATACTATTAATATGAATAAATCAATAAAAATATTAAATCAGTAATATTACAGTATTTACTATATTTTTGATTTAAAAAACAAAAACAAATTCAGAATTGGTGAGCATAAGAAACTTCTTTCAAAATCATCAACATTTTTAATATTATTTATAAAAAAAAACAGTTACAGCTATTTATTTTTTATTTTATTTTATTACATTACAGAATCATTCTTATTTAGTTTAGCTTATATTTATTATAACTAACTTGTTCAAATGTGGTGTTGCCAAAAAAAGAATAATGTAGATTTGACAAAATAATTTAAATTAAAATATTTATATTTAAATTAAAATTAAATTGTAATATTATTTCATAATATAATACTATTAATATGAATAAATCAATAAAAATATTAAATCAGTAATATTACAGTATTTACTATATTTTTGATTTAAAAAACAAAAACAAATTCAGAATTGGTGAGCATAAGAAACTTCTTTCAAAATCATCAACATTTTTAATATTATTTATAAAAAAAAACAGTTACAGCTATTTATTTTTTATTTTATTTTATTACATTACAGAATCATTCTTATTTAGTTTAGCTTATATTTATTATAACTAACTTGTTCACCTATTATTGTTACAGTCGCGGGACCTTTATTTTGACAAACTGAGTGGTCACTTAAAACCAGCTGACTCACAGATGATAATTTCATATAATTTCAAGCTAATTTTGATTCTGATGAGACTAAAAGTGTTGGTATTTTAAAAGTAGTTGGATTGCTGCTCTTCTAACACTACACGACTGTCTGGAGTATCATCTAGTCACTATTGTTTGCTCACTACACGACAGATCGGCGACAGGGGGTCACATATTACACAGCTTTTCAATAGGAAGAATCACTGTCAACTCTGTCTTGTCTACAAACTACAAACTAAACAACTCTGTCTGCTCTACAAACTATGTCTACAATCAAAGCAATGCGAGAATTGATATGTGAAATATAAGTGTGCTTGACTTAGGTGTGTTCAAAAGTATATAAAGCCATCGGCTCTGTGTAGCTCCTGTGGTACTTTGATGTCCTATCCAGATATTTAGCATGGCAAATATCTCACGTGCATCGGCGATGCGTCAACACTTCTCTCAGATCGTGCCATTTGATAATAGAAACTACACAGCATCGATTTTGCCTCTGATTTTGGGCATTTGTTGGCAATTGAAAAACGGGGCTAAAATCCTGCTGTGTGAACCCGGCATAAGATGTTTAGTCTCTAATTTGTACATTTTCACCTGTTTGACCAATTCATACTGATTAGCACATCTGTTGCAAGATGAGCCAATCACAAAACCAAGGCACTGCCTCCTTTAATCTGACTTGTCATCTATATTTTTCCTATGGTTTAGGGACCTTATGCAAATATGAGCTCAAGGGAGGCAAAAGAGACGGTTCGTTCATCTTCGGAACACAAATTAAGATGTTTTGGATGAAATCCGAGAGCTTTCTGACACTCCATAGACAGCAATGCAACTACCATGTTCAAGGCCCAGAAAGGTAGTAAGAACATTGTTAAAATAGTCCATGTGACATCAGTTGTTCAACCTTAATTTTATGAAGCTGCGAGGATACTTTATGTGTGCAAACAAAACAAAAATAACAACTTTATTCAACAATTGCTTCACCTCTGTGTCAGTCTTCGACGTGTGTTCACGAGAGTACCACAATGTACCCCGACTCTCATGAACGTGCGTCAAAGACTGACATGGAAGCGAAGAAATTGTTGAATAAAGTATTTATTTTTGTTTTTTTTGTTTTTTGCGCACAAAAAGTATTCTTGTAGTTTCATAAAATTAAATTTGAACCCCTGATGTCACATGGACTATTTTACCGATGTCCTTGCTACTTCTCTGGGCCTTGCACGTGGTAGTTCGGTTGCTGTCTATAGAGGGTCAGAAAGCTCTCGGATTTCATCCAA